GGAATCAAAACATCTCTGAGAGAGAAAGTGTCAGAAGCAGGGCACTGTTAATATTACATGATAACCACCCATAATTGAGTTAGTACATCCCTGACTTCGACCACGATAGACACAACACACAAGCGCTCACCCATTCCAGGGAACATTTTAAAGTCCTTCTGTCTCATGCTCTACAGCAGACTTCAGGAGGAAGGAGGAATACAGTGTTGGGGATTCTGCCACCACTGCCCGAGCCATCATTCCAATGGTCCCACTCCACCCTTCAGGTTTGTGAAGGGCACACTGAGGTTACCTAAGTATATCCTGCCCCTGAGCTCAGAGCTTCACCATCCACTGCGTAACATGAGCCAGAAACCTGGAAGTCAGCACAAACCTTCTCCTCTCTTCCCCTCCATCTAATCAATGACCACATCCAGCTGATTGACATCCTAATCTTTCTACAAACCACTCCTCCTTTTCATCTCTACCACCTGTGACCCAAGGTCAGTCAGGATGTCATTAACTCTACCTGGACCATTACAAGAGCTGCCTAACTGGTCTCCTTAACTCTGAATTTGTTCCTCTTCAACTCACCACTTACCAACCCATCAAAGTGTTCTTGGTCAAATACAATTCTGGAAATGCTATTCGTGGCCTAACCTCTCATCAGCTCCCCATCACCCACCAAGTAAGCTGTTCGAATCTAGTCCCGCCTTCTTCCTCTGGCCTCAGTTTCCATCATGCTGCTGAGAATTCTCCACTGTCCTTGGCACTGCCCGCGCCCTGCACCTCTTGACCCTTGTCAGCCCAGCCTGACCCCTGATCATCCCTCATGGTTCACCTAGAAGCCTTTTCTGCTCTGCAGGGCTTCCTGAGTTCTACTGAAATATTTTCTTCTCCCGTCTGCAGTACCCCTGATTGCGTTCCTTGAGGACAGGGGCTTAGGTTTACCTGTTGTTGTATACTCTGAGTTTGGCATCCATTTGAAAAGTACATATTGGGAACCTTCTGTATGGGTACTGTTTCATGGGCTGGGGATGTGGTGGTGAGCAAGGCAGCAGGCACCTGCATTTCATGGCCCAGACGGTCTACTTCTAAGAGACACGAGAGGCCCACAGGTGCAAATAGAAAGCAGATCTTCAAACTCTTTTTAGTTTAGAACTTCTTCCCTTCTCCAGCCAGGCTCTGACAAAGCTTGATGTTGGTCACTGCTCTCCCTTTCCACTCCAGACCTTCCTCTCCCATGCCACACTTCATGCTGCATGCCGTTAGAAGGGTTTCAGCAATTTTAAAAGCTGAGGAAGTAGACTTGGGGATGTATTCCGTTTGAGTGCGATGGGATACATTTCCACAATTTCCAGAGACCTCCATGTACAGTGAAGTCATTGCTGGTATAGGAATGGCTTCCAGGAATGCTCCCCCTGCCACTCCCCTGATGCTCAGCATCATGAAACAGAGGTGCAGGGCCAGAGGTGGATAATAACATGGAAGTTCCCTACAGCACTTGGTGCTGGACATGAGAAACAGGCTTGAAGGGTTCAGAGCTAGAAGCTACAGTCCAATTCTGAATTATCTGTTTCTGAATGGATTAAGTTGCTCCAAGACTGACAGTGCTCCTAGCCATCTCTCAGACAAAAACATGTATTCTCTCGGGAGGAAAATAACATTATTTTAGGCTTCAAATTATCTCTATAATTTTTAATATACCATGACCGCTTTTCAAAATAAAAAATAGTCAGGCATTCAAGGAGACAAATTGATGTATTTAAAAATCAAGGGGAAAACCTTGATTCTCTTGTGTTTGAGCCATTTTTGGGTTTGCAGTTAGCATAACCTTAAAACAGAATTTAGTATGTAATAAATTTAGCATCACAAGCTAGTGGAGGAAAGAATTCTATTTAATACATGTGTTTATTAACACCATGGATAACTGGTTAGCCATCTGAAAGGAAAATAAAATTGGGTCCATATTTCAAAATTATAAAAACTTTCAAATTAATCAAATACTTAAATGGGAAAAATGAAATCATGCAAGTTCCAGAAGAAAACATGAGAGAATTTCTTTATAGCTGGTATTGATTTAAGAGAGGAAGGGAGAGCCCTGGCTGGTTTGGCTCAGTGGATAGAGCATCAGCCTGTGGACTGAAGGGTCCAGGGTTCGATTCTGGTCAAGGGCATATACCCGGGGTTGCAGGCTCGATCCCCAGTGGGGGTCTGCAAAAGGCAGCCGATCAATGATTCTCTCTCATCATTGATGTTTCTTTCTCTCTCTCTCTCTCTCTCTCTCTCTCTCCCTTTCCCTTCCTCTCTGAAATCAATAACATCAATATTCATAAAAAAAAAGAGAGAGAGGAAGGGAGAGGGAGAGAGAGATAGAAACATCAATGATGAGAGAGAACCATTGATTGGCTGCCTCCTGCGCGCTCCCTACTGGGGATAGAGCCTGCAGGCCGACACTCTATCCACTGAGCCAAACTGGCTAGGGCTAGCTGGTATCTCTTTATATGTGAAAGGCCTTTGACTCGAACTCTAAAGTCACAAAAGATTAGACTGGTATATCTCAGTAGCTAAACATAAAAACTCTCTGGATGGCCAAAATATATCATTCACTAAGTAAAATATAAATGACAAACAGGAAAATCATTTGCTATTCATATTCACAACCATGCAAAAAGCTAGACTCTTTACTATATAAAGAACTCAGAAAATGATGAGAAAATACTAACAATCCAATATAAAAATGGATAGTGATTGAAAAGAAATATCTCTTCAATGTATGAAAGATGCTCAATTCATATAAAAGAAGTGCAAATCAAAATGATGCTGACACCATTTTTTTACCCATTAGATAGTCAAAAATCCAAAAATTTGACAATACTCTGTTTCTGAAGCTGCCTGGAAACACGCACTTCAGTGCATTACTGGTGAAATTGTTAGATGTACATATGAAAGGTGATTTGGCAACATCGAAGTAACAAATCTTTGACCAAGAAATTTTACTTTGAGGAATTTATCCTGCAGATGTACTTGTATAAGAACAAACTGATTTATTATATATTCACTGTATATTATTTGCAACATGAGGTTGGAAAACACCCAAGCATACATCAGTGGGGAACTGGTTAAATAAATTATGATACATCCTCAATGGATGTTATGCAATTGTTAAAAAAATGAAGATCTCTATTAACTTTTATACAAACATATCCAAGGAACTTATGCTAAAATGCACAGTGTATATATGTTAGCCTTTGTGTTGAAAGAGGAAAAGCCCATATTTATATTTCATTGGACAATGACCAATGGAACAAAATATGCATCACAGAAACACTTATATATTCATAGAGACATGGTACAGGACAGGCAGCATTATAAACCAGTGGAGAAAGTATGAATGAAGCTGGGGGCATATTTAAATGGAAAAAATAAGAATCAGATCTCCACTTTATACCATATACAAAGTCAATACCAGGTGGAATAAAGATCTCAATGTGAAAAAGGAAACTTTGAAACTTCTGAGAATAAGTATTGGTTTAGGTATCAGGATACAAAAGGACTAACCATAAAGGAAAAAATTAGAAAATATGACTACATTAAAATCAACTTACATGAACAAAGATACCTTAAACAAAGTGAAAAGAAGTGCCACAGTCT